AGGGTCCCGGGAGCTGCCCGCGTGGGGAGGGTGCCCTGCGAAGGGCGCGCTGCCCTCAGGTCCCTACTGCCCAGCGCGTGCTGGGGCTCCACTGGCTTGGGGTCGCGGCCTGCCAGCCAGACGCTGTCCTAATGGATCATCGATTAGCGCCACTTAAACTTCATAATCACTTAGAGGAATTTTAATCCACTTTTTCCCTGGGCCAGATGCAGTCCAGGGCCACGTATTGCATCTAGTGTCGCTTCTAGTGTGTTCTAATCTGGACCTTTCAGCTTTTCCTGTCGTGCCATTGACGTTTTTGAAGAACACAGTCCAAGACAACATCGAGATACCACCACACACCCATTACACTGGCCGAAATCCAGAACGCTGGCCACAGCAAATGCCCACGAGGTCATGGAGCAACAAGCGCTGACATGCATTGCTGCCGGGAATGCAAAATGGCAGGGCCACTGTGCTTACAGTTTGACAGTTTCTTACCAAACTGAACACACCCTTACTAAACCCAGCAATCGCACTTCTTGGCATTTACCAAAATTAGTTGAAAACCTACGTCCGCACAAAAACACGCACACAAATGTTGATAGCAGTTTTACTCACAATTGCCAAAACGGGAGCAATCAAAATGTCCTTTAGTAAGTGAGTGGATAAATAAACTGTGGAACATCCAGACGCTGGGATAGTATCCAGTGCTAAAAAGAAATGGGCTATCGAGCTGTGGAAAGACACGGAGAGAAGCCAATCTGAAAAGGCTGCACCCTGTATGATTCTAACTATGTGACATTCTGGAAAAGGCAAAACTATAAAGACTGTAAAATCATTAGTGGTCGCCAGGTGTTGGACGGATGAATAGGCAGAGATAGAGGATTTTTAGGGCAGTGAAACTATTCTGTGTGAGACTATAATGGCAGATAAATATCATTATACGTTTGTCAAAAACTATAGAATGTACATCATCAAGAGGGAACCCTTATGTAAACTATGGACTTGGGGTGGTTGTGACGTGTAGGTTAATCTTTGGTGTGGGATTCTGGTAGCGAGGGAGGCTGTGCCTACGTAGTGTCGGGGCATATGGGAAATCTCTATACCTTCTGCTCAGTTTTGCTGCAAATAAAACTTCTCTTAACAATAGTCTATTTAAAAAAAGAATACAGACCTGTTATCTTTAAAAAGTTCCCTCATTTGGGGTTTCTCTGCATGATTAGATTCAGATTAGCTCATTTGGCTACAATTCCACAGAAGCAATATTGCATCCCTCTCTGTTGTCACATGGGAGAAACACAGTATCTGCCCCTTACAGTGAGGTTAATATTGATTACTTTGTTAAGGTTGTGGTTTCTCCACTTCATTGTTTTCTTTTGTAATTAGTAAATGTTTTTGGTGTATAGCAACACTGTTCTTAATAGCAGAAAGCAGAAATAACCTGTCCGTAAACAAAAGAATGGATTTTGTTGTTGTTTTTTGTTTCATTGACTTTAGAGAGAGGGAGGGAGGGAGAGAGAGAGGAGCTCAGTTGTTTGGAGCACCTCCCGGTACACAGAAAGGTTGTGGCTTCAATTCCCAGTCAGGGCACATACTTAGGTTGCTGGTTCACATCGATGTTTCTCTTTCTCCCTTCCTCTTTCTCTAAAATCAATTAAACATATCCTCAAGTGAGGATTTTAAAAAATTATTGAAACAAAAACGAAGTCCTCATTTTTTCTCCCCTAAAGCAGGCCTCACTTAGGGCATTTTATAGTTTTAGATATCTCAAAAACATACCTGTTTTTAGAAACTGAAAGGAAGTTTGAAAGTATAGGGGCAAGGACATCCTAAGACTCATGACTGTCATATGGCATGCTGCTAACTTTTATTGGAGCTGTGGGGAAACCGTTGGCGAATTATTTCACAATTTTATCTTTTTATTCTTTCGTAACCATACCATATCAGTTGGTTGCACAACTTAACCCCTAGACACAGATCTCAGAATTTTTTGTCAGAAACTTAAAGACATGAGAAAGATAAGGAATTGCTGCACCGCCAAACTGTCCACATCTGTAGGCCGGAGACTATTGTTTTAGTTTTTTTAAAAAATTTTTTTTTTTTTTTGATTTTAAAGATAGAGGAAGGGAGAGGGAGAGAGAGAGAAACATCAATGAAAGAGAGAAACATCGATGGGCTGCCTCCTGAATGCACCCTTACCAGGGATGGAACCCGAAACCTGGTTATGTGTCCTGCCCTGGAATAGAACCGACGAACTTTTGGTGCACAGGATGACACTCAACCAACTGAGCCACACCGGCCAGGGCTATTTTTTTTAGTTTTTTAAATAATTTTTTATTTTGATGTAAGAATTCCTGTAAAGAAAGAAGAAAAAGAATTCCTGTACCTAATTCAATTGGTAACATTTTGCCTTATTCCATCATTTGCTCTGTCATTATATACATGTAGTATATATGTATATTTATATAACATATAAACATTATATGTAACATACAAACATTTACATATTATTATTACCATTTGAGATTAAGTTAAAGACATTATGCCCCTTTACCTCTAAATACTTCAGAGTATATTTCCTAAGAACATAGGCACAGTATTATTATCAAAATTAGAAAATTTAAATCAATATATTATTTTCTAATCCTTAGTCTATATTCAACTTTCTTTCAGTGTCCCCATAATATCTCTTGCAGTTCCCCCCCTCGTCCAAGATCCAATCACATATCACAATTTGTCTTCGTGTCTTTTTAGGGGAGTTCTTTTTTTCCGTTGCCTTTAACATATATCATTTAATACTCCTAAAACCTATTTCAAATTAAAATTATTTTAATGGAATTTTTAAAATATTAGCTATGTAAAATTAGCTAAATTTTTACACCGAAATGAGGTCAGAAATGACATTGGGATTTGACGTTCGCTAACTAGGAAAGCTGAATTTAGAAAGAACTTCCAAGTACAAGATAAAGGAGTGTGTGTTCCAGGCAAGAAATGAACCTGTGAAGGGAAAGCCAGTGACTCTTTCTCGGTCTCTCAAGGAAATGTCCAGTGGGAAAGGAGAAGGCAATGAGCAAATGGAATTGCAGCTATTTCGTTACACAAAGTTTAAGTGTTTTGGAACACAGCTAAGGTTAATTTATAACTTTTCAAAGTAATAACATTTTAACTTATTTTAAAAACATACAGAAAGCAACCTAACACAAATAACTTAATGAGTTATATTATGGCTTATACCCTTGTAAACATCCTCCGCTCAAGAAACAAAACTTCAGGCCCAGAGTTCCTGGAGACTGGTGATCCTGGACAAGCTAACTCACATCACAGAGCCTTTGGCTTTCCAAGTGTAAAAAGAGATACTCCTACAGTCACACACCACTTAATGACTGTCCAGCCAACAATGAACCACGACAGGGTCCACAAGATTATAATGGAGCTGGAAAATTCCTCCTCGAGTGATGCAGCCGTTATAATGTCCTAGCACAACACACTCCGCATGTGTTCGAGGTGATGCTGGTGTAAACAAACGTACCACACTGCCAGTCGCATAAAAAGTGTAGCACATGCAATTATGTGCAGTACATTATACTGGAAAATGAGAATTAAACAGCCATGTTACTGGTTTCTGTATTTACTATATCTTTTACTGTTGTTTTAGAGCATAGTCTTTTACTTATTTTTTAAAAAGAGTTTACGTTAAAATAGTACATTTACCGCGTCACTGGACTGCATTATTTTCTCTGGGCTTGGTTTATCCTCATGCTGGTTTTTGCACAGTAACTGCTGTACAGACTTGTAGCCTCGGGGCAGTGGGCTCTACCATATAGTGTGGGTGTGTCGTAGGCCACGCATCCAGGCCTGTGTGATGCTCGCACAGTGACAAAATCACCGCATGTTGCATTTCTAAGACTGTATCTCTTCCTTAAGGGGCACCTGAGTGTACTTTACCGATTGGACAGATCTGCCTACATTGGCATCATAGGGCCGCTGAGAGGCCCAAATGCAAAATTGAAAGGTGAGAAGCGTTGCTCTTCTCTCTCAAAACCTAGCAATGAAACAGAAATTCTGCAGATCCCGGTACTTTGAAGGCTGGCATTTGGAACGATTGTACCGCAGCTGAACCATACCTCCACACTGCTTAGTACCCTAGCATGCACCGAGAAACGTGCAGGGTTTGTAAAAATACAGATTTCCGGATCTCATCCCTCGAGTTTCTGACCGAGATTTCCTGCAGTGGGGCCCGGGAATTTGAATTCTTAACAAGTTCCAGGTATATGGTTGTTCCAGGGACTACAATTTGCAGACCCCTGGTTTGGTGTAGAGTTTCCCGGAGAATCCGGTAGCAGGGCTAGGGTTCTATGTCGCCCACTCAGGTTTATCTGGTCTCAGCTTCCCGCTTCTGTCCTCT